GGAAGAGATAAATTCTCCTGGTGGGAGCGGGGAGAAGGACGGTGAGTGTTCGGGTTAAATGCGTGCCGCTTTAAAACGTGGAAACGAAGCTAAACAGTTTTCGCGCGCGTTTAAAGCCGCCACCCTTTTAAGCGATTACTCGGTCGACGATAGAGTTATATTCGAGATTGATTTCAATTTGCGCGCAGGCTAACCTCGCAGACGTGCAAACTCGCTCGTACAACAGGCTGATTATTGCCGCATAATAACCGGCCGGTAATAAATCCACGAATAGATAATCGAAATTGTAAACATCGTGAAATTGCTGTCGCGTCGCTTTTCCATTGGCGGCCCTATTGGCCGGAGCTGCAAATTGTATAACAAATATTATTATTGTACATATTGTTGTAATCTACACGGTTCGCGTTATGCAAATGCCCATTATTACATTCGATTGGCGTGTATTTATTTTCGATTAATACGAAATAAATTTAACAATCTGACGAATATGTGTAACAATATTCAGGATGCAGCAACGGTTAAACTGAACATTAAACGTTGCATTGTTAACAGCTGTTCATTATTAAAAATGGAGGTTATTAAACGCGTGCAATTGATATAATTAAAATCAACAAGACGATACGTACCAGCAATTATACGAAATAATATATAACTAAATATACAGTTTATGCGATATATCCAGGAGCGTACAAGTATGATGACAAATTTTTCACGTAATAATTACTAGTCTTAAATTGTCAGTGTATACGTTTTACGAGGCCCCTTGAAATTTTGTTTCATTTATTTTATATTTTTTATCTGATATTCTATTAAATGGCTGGTGATCAAATATTTCTAAATAAATCATACACAATGTATACTATAGTCTGTTATAGATATATATTACAATTAAAGTAATACCTAAGATGGTGTACTTAACACAGACAACCTGAATAACTTGTTTGAGCTTTATAATAAAAGAAAGGTTTCAGTACAAAGTGTGACCCATGGGACCCATAATTGGGTGTTAGTAACTCTTTTATTCATGCATATCCAAAATTCTATTTCGATTTTGCTAATTAAATTCAAAGTCATTATAGCGATCTACTGTAAAGGTCATTGAAGGTTACACAAGGTGAACCGCAACAAAAATAACTTCCATTTTGAATTATTACGCGATACGTATACTCGAGCAAACCTAACCTAAAAATTTTCGAGAGATGAATTTTGTGGAGACAAAAATATCAGATGGAAGTAATTTTTGGTTAATAAAAGGGAACTGTAGGGGGCTATATCGATAGGGAGACGAAGCAAGAAAGGTTCGCAACGATCAAGAGCAGGAAGTGAATTTCTGTTTATTGTTGGCAGGAAAGACACATCGCTGCACTCGAGCTGGCACGACTTTGAGGCTGGTATCGCGAAATGTACCGGAAACGATGGACCGTGAAGGCGCTGCGAATGGATTTACGGTATGGCGGCAATGGGAGCGGCTGCTGCGCGCCGGCCCTGGCCAAGATGATCTGCATTTTCTTCTTCTCGATACTGTTGCACGGTAAGCCGATGCACAATTTATACGTACTCCGAAACGCTTAGACGCGTCGCGATAAGAAAGTGTTTCCTTCTTGTCCATTGAGCTCGTTACTAAACAGAAGCTATATGTACAGCGGAACAGAGGCGGATTTACTGTACTTGGGGCCCCTGGCGGGAAAATCCTATTCCATGCTTAAAAGGATCTCCGTGCATATGTATGCACGTGTATTTCTGTAATATATACTTACATATCGATTTTAGAAAGAAGGATGTTAAAAAAGGACCATTTTTGGCATCGGAAATGAAAAATTTCTTCAGAATCTTTAAGAGTGCTTCTTCCAAGGAACAATTTCTAATGTTACGACCTATAAGAATGCTGATACACTATCGCGTCAAGTCTAGTGGGATGTATAATAATACTTGCTGGGGTTCTTCCCCCACTGCTGCTAGTGGGACTCGTCGGTAAGGCTACCTAGCAGGCCCTGCCTCAGACAAGGATACTATTGGAAAGTTTGGAAATTCTGTATATAGGAAGCGGAGAGTTTACCGAGGATTTGCGAGAAAATCCTGGAACCTCCTTAAACCTGGCATCCGTTTCCATGTTTTGACTTGCTTACATCCAAAAATAGTTCGTTTTAAAGGCTGAGACCTTTACTATATCACTTTCAAGATTTCAAACTGTCCTGTTAAACTGCACGCCACGGTACTCCGTAGTGAAGTAGTCGGAGGAGGAAAATTCTTTAATTCCATTTCCTATCGAACCAAATCGAATTTGGTGCGGGATAAAGAATCGATTAGGCCCCGAAATAGAGGGGAAAATTAACACGTTGCTTAATTCGCCCGCGATAGCGAAAATAAAATAGCTGGGCACGATAGGTATGCACAGGTTGTTCAATTACCTTTTTGTCATTGATTCTTCCTGGTACATAGGTCTGTTTATTCGACCTGTTCGCGTGCGGGATTTATTGAAAGTAAAATGCTCTTGTATTCATCTCTCGTTAATTAGAATCCCTTTGTTTCGTTCGGTCAACTGCGGCAGTGACTGTTGACTACCTGCTCTCATTACGCAGAGTCTTTATCGTCTCGTTAATTCTTGCAAAAGTAATTTTCTTGCTACCCATTGACTAATTGAAAGTCTTGCTGTTTTCCCCGGGCATTTGCCCGAAATGCCGAGGCTTTATGAAAATTTTCACGCGAGTTGATTAATTATTGATCGCCGCCGTTAATGTTTCCTTTTTCTCCGTGCTAAGGGATTATATACTTTGCATCTTTGACCTGTACAGGCTGTTACGTGTAGGTACATAAAACCTCTTAGTTAGCAAGGAACAGTGTGCTTGAAAAAAAGAACATTTCGTACAAAATTTTTAACCTTTTTTATTTTTCATTTTATGCTTTCATTTTACACATATATATTTGCAAGGATTTTGCAAAGCGTTTGTTACCCCATATGTAAATATTTTTATTTTGCAACTCATTATGACACTAAAATAAAGAGGAATCTTATTATTAGTATTCGTCGGTATACCAAGCAACAGAAAAAAAAAAAAGAAAAAATTGAGTGATAAACTATTATCATCACCGAGGTCATTGTCAGTCGATTTTCCATTGCTTCGTAAGACCTGCACTTTCCCCGTGCACTCTGTAAACAAACTTACAGCCATTCGATAAAGCTTCTTACCTATCACCGAGGTCATTGTCAGTCGATTTTCCATTGCTTCGTAAGACCTGCACTTTCCCCGTGCACCCTGTAAACAAACTTTACAGCCATTCGATAAAGCTTCTTACTCGATCCGAAAAATCAACAGAGCGATTTCACGGCTCGGAAACGGCGCCGTAATACCAGCAGTCAGGTTTTTACCACGAGAGCCAGTGCTAAACGTAATTAAAAAATCCAGAAGCAGTTCTTTTTTGAAGTAGCTAGGTTGGTTCCATGCGCGGAACACTTTGTCCGCGCGCCAGTGATTCGCGTGTCATAGAATTTTCGTAAAAGCTTGGTAGCCTGCTGGATGCACGCTGGGCAACGTTGGAAACACTGGAAACCGTTGGAAACGGTGGCAACGTTGGCGCAACGCTGGCACAGCGCGGCAAAAGCGCGCCGGGGTGGGGGTAGAGGGCGCGAGAAATCAGAAAGTGGAAACTAACGTTAACTGGTGTGCGGGCGTGGCTCGCCACGGACACATAAAAACGCATTGCAGAAAACAATGATCCCTGGCGACTTTGCAAATGTTGTTGCGGTCAGCTAACAACGCGACCACACGAGCGCCACCACGGCCGCTTTAAAAAACACTCGTGTACCTACATGTGTACTATCTGCACGACAACGAGCTCGTCGAACCGAATATTCCGCTTGCCGAACTTTTTACAATGCCGACTCCATCCCCACCACCACTACCCAGTCGCGATTATTCCTCGTTTGGTAAATATCGAAAGGTTTTTGAAGTCGACCGAAATTTTAAGAATCGACACTGTCCCGGAGAACTGCGAAAAATAGCAGGAGAACGTATAGTGCATGTATAGTGCGTTCGAGAAAAGAAGGCACAGCGTGTTTGCATCCTCACGGTTGCTTAAACTTCGCGGACAATCCCACGATCACAGGCAATGGCCGCTATTGGCCGAAGATGGTGACGACAATCATCGGTCACTGTTTTCGACCAATACCGGCCACTGCTTGTGATCATGGGCGTGTCCGCGGAGTTTAAGCAACCGTGGGGATGTAAGCACGCTGTGCCTTCTTTTCTCGAACGCACAGTACACAGCGGGTCACAGCCAAAATCGTGCACGTATGAAAATATGTTTCATTCGAAAAGTGAAGTTTGGGAATAATTTCGAAAAAGGAATAAGGTGGATATATATTGTAAATATATCTATATTCATTGTGTAATAATGACAAAAGAAATGAACATTGTTTAACACAAAAAAATGAAGTTACTATAATACATTGCAGAAAACGTCTCACAGTTTTCGAATGGAACATATTTTCACATCTAGTGTACGATTTTGGTCATGACTCACTATAATGTATAGAGTTGTTCGTGGATTTAAAAAAAAAATTTTGTTTACCTGCTTGCTAATATAATGTGCATTGCGTCGGTGGCGAAAATTCTGCACGAAAAGATAACATTTCATGTGAGCCTGCATGCATGCATATATGCAATGTTGGTAAACAGAAACGTGTCAGGTAAACTTCTTTCTATTTGATTTCGTTGCCATTCGTCGTGGGTGTTGCTACAACCTTCAAAGAGGCCCTTTCTCTAAAGAGGATAAACTCGTTACTCATAAATATTGAAACTGCCAGCTCACTAAATTGTACGCGTTCTGTTTGCCCTTTTTCGAAACAATTTCCACCGATAGCCGCAAGGACCCTTCAAAGAGTGTTACTCGAATAAATTTTAGAAATCTCCACGGCTCTGGGTATATCGCGGTCCATTAAACTGTGAATCGATAAATAAAACAAATACCGGATTTCCCTTTTACGTATATACCTATTCCGTTTCCGTTGCTGTAAATTTTTATTATTCGCCAAATTGCCGCGCACGCGAATTTCGAAATGGAAATTACGTAAAATAAAGAGATTCAAAAATTGAGGTTATACGTACCCTGGAACGCACGGATAGGCGAGATCAGCTTAGGAAGGCAAAGGATGGGCACACGATATGGCGTTCTCGATTTCCAAAGCAAACCCGACATTTGCCGGCGGTAAACACGTTTATCCGAAAGTTGTAGTTACGTTCGGTGCGTGTTCGCTCAGTATCGGCCCGATATCGCGTATCACGATCGCAATATCCAGCCACTATTTACCGCAACAACGTCTGCTCTCTCATCGACTGCGTACGATGTAATGACACGATGATGCGACGTTTGTAACTATGTTAGAGCTCCAAGCATTTATCGCAAATAGGACCATAGTTTACACACCGGGGGTTATTTAATTTCGCCAAGGTTCCGTCCATGAATTACAGGAAATGACGAATATACGTTTGCGAGTCTTGCCCGATACAGCAACGTCGCCATTAACCCTCGAAGCACGGTCCCTCGTTCAACGGTAACGGTGCCTGCCGGGACCTCACACTGATATTCCACTAACCCATGCTCGAGATCCCCACCTTTGTTCCACTACTCCCACCACTCCCTGGAATAGCCGGCCTTAGATGAGGTCGACACCGTGTCGGCTTTGCATCTAACTTTTTGGTGCAGCATATTATCTAATCATATTTTTAATACAAGGAGAAGAGTTTGTTTAACACGTTCCGTGCCACCTGTACCATTTTGTTGTACCATGAATGGTACACGCAGACATATTTATTTAATGCACTGAAAACATGTTTAATGACAAATTTAATTCTGAAAAAAATATATTTCTAGTAATAAAATGAGGCATTATAGGAAATGCAGTATAGAACAAAGCACATAAATTTGTTTAATTGTTATATATACGATAATTATTAATTACACGTAATGGTCCACTTTTTTGAAGCAAGGGATGCATAAAAATGGATTATTCGGGCTGCAAAATGTCACTAGTTTTCTAGTTCTTTTTGCTAATCGAAAATTTTCGAACTGACTGACCTTTACAGTCGAACTGATCGCAGCGCCACGTGTACCATAGATGGTGCACGGTGTGATAACTACTCTAAACAAGCTAATTACTCATGGATCGACGATGTAATGACATATTGTGCGATAATATATCAATTTTTAGTCAAAACAATAAATGACTTGAAGATCATGTCGGTCAAAAACGGCTTGGCACAAAACGTGTTAAAAAATTTGATAAACTTATTGTTATTTACGTTACCGTTACCTAGACGTATGTAACACCTGGACCTTTTTCGCGATTCATTCGATGATGATTCTTTTTGTTTTTCGAGTTTTCGACAAACTCGACTTCAACTACGTTGAATCAGCAGATATTCGCGGATGCTTATGAATATACATTCGACGCAATTAGAAGAGACAAGGTTCGAAATATTATATGTATGTGCCCGCCGCGCGTCGAACTTCGAACGCGACTGTTGCGCGCTC